AGCACTTACTAGACATAAAATCAACATCTATTACTTGAAGATGTTTTCTGCTTATGCAGTGGGGAAAAAAAGTGACCTGGTAACACACAGAATCATAGCATAGTTAGGGTTGGAAAGGACCTTAAGATCATCAAGTTCCACCCCCCCTGCCATGGGCAGGGACTCCTCACACTAAATCATCTCACCCAAGGCTCTGTCAAACCTGGTCTTGAGCACTGTCAAGGATGGAGCATTCACAACCTCCCTGGGCAAATCATTCCAGTGCCTCACCACCCTCACAGGAAAGAGTTTCCTCCTTATATCCAATCTAAACTTCCCCTGTTTAAGTTTTTAACCAGCTACCCCTTGTCCTATCACTATAGTCCCTAATGAAGAGTCCCTCTCCAGCATCCTTACAGGCCCCCTTCAGATACTGGAAGGCTGCTATGAGGTCTCCACGCAGCCTTCTCCTCTCCAGGCTGAACAGCCCCAACTTTCTCAGCCTATCTTCATACGGGAGGTGCTCCAGTCCCCTGATCATCCTCGTGGCCCTCCTCTGGACTTGTTCCAACAGTTCCCATGTCCTTTTTATGTTGAGGACACCAGAACTGCACACAATACTCCAGGTGAGGTCTCACAAGAACAGAGTGGAAGGGCAGGATCACCTCCTTTGACCTCCTGGTCACGCTCCTTTTGATGCGGCCCAGGATAGCGTTGGCTTTCTGGGCTGTGAGCACACACTGCCTGCTCACGTTCATTTTCTCATTGACCAACACCCCCAAGTCCTTCTCCGCAGGGCTGCTCTGAATCTCTTCTCTGCCCAACCTGTAGCTGTGCATGGGATTGCTGCAACCCAGGTGTAGGACCTTGCACTTGGCACGGTTAAACTTCATGAGGCTGGCATCAGCCCACCTCACAAGTGTGTCAAGGTCCCTCTGGATGGCATTCCTTCCCTCCAGTGTATCAACTGAACCAGGTTTTTGAGAATTTTTTGGATTTTTTTAACAGGAAACGTGTGTTTAATCATAGCTATGAATCAATAAAGATATGTTACAGCAACCCGTAAGAAAGGAAAATAAAGGTATGGCACACAGCAGTCCTTGCTTCTTTGAGTGCTTTCATTCACACTAAATTGCTGTGGAGGAAAAAAGAGAAGGTAGCCAGCTAGATATATTTATGAATATTACACAGATCATTAAAAAACAGCAGGTCATCATTTTATCTGATCTAGTTAAACGATATGAGCAAACTGTGATTTTGATATTACAGAGCAATTTATTAATCTAAATGAACAGTCAAGCAGGTCGTTCACTTGGGAAAGGTCGTAGATAAGACTATGAATCATACCAAATTAGATAAAATGAATGTATGTGCTATTCCGTTTGCTTTGTGCAAGCGAAACAATTTATTGCTTAGTTCACCCAGCCACAGCTGCTCAGAGAGAAATTCAGCCAAGAGTTAGTCTTTGGTTTTAGGATGCAGTTCTTCAGAATTTCAAAAATCAAAGCTTGTGATGCATAAGCTCCCAAGTTCATTTATATGAGCTCAGTGGCCAGTACTTCATACATGGTGTTCCTGCATAATGAGGGAACTCTGGAATTCGAGTACTTATTTTAAGCTAGTCCTTCTAGTTCTGTTTCAAAGCGGAAAGATACTACTCAATGTACTTCTTTCCACTAGTATTAGGCAAAAAACGTAACTTATACAAAGAAAAATGAAACAAATATGGTGGAACAAAGTAATTTACAAAGAAAAACGAAGCAAATATGGTGGAACAAAGTAATCCAAAGGCAATCCTAACAAGAATCACTTAGCAAGTAACAGAAGATGAACAACATAAAAATAAAATCATTCATTTCTTCTTTCTTTCTCTTTTGGAAGAGTAAAGATGACTACATTATGCTACCCACTAATCTCCCTTTTAAGTAAAACAATCACTTCAGATAATTCTAATTCTGCCTTGCCTACTATGCTATTATTTCCCCAGGTTGGGCACTGATTCTAGGATCTTCATCAGGGACTGTAATGATAGGACAAGACGTGATGAGTTTAAACATAAAAAGGAGATGTTCAGGTTGGATATAAGGAAGAATATATGTCTGACAAAGGCAGGCAGACAGCTTGGAGGAAGGCTGCAGAAAAGCAAGCAATCACTATCAGATATACCCTCATGACTTAGAATATAAGCACTCCTCTAGCACACACATCCCAGAAAGATAAACCAAGAGCCACAGCTGCCAGTTAACAGTGAGGAGCTGAAAAACTGCAGCATTTTTTATCTGCTCTGTATTTGCAGTGAGTTATGGAGCTGCACAGGCTAAGATGTCTTGACAGTGCCCTCCAACACTTAGATGGCTCAGGTACAGTCACACTGACTAACTCAGCTCTGTCTGAGCCCTTAAGGTTTTCACCAGCCTTTCATTCACCACAGTCAGATCTGCTTACTGACAGTATGAAAATGATGCATAAAACCCACATTCAAAAAAAAAAAAAAAAAAATCGAAGAATAAAGTGTTTCTGGCAATTACAAGACCTACAGCAGAAAACTGACAAACCATGCAAAGCCATTAGTGTGCTGAGAAAAAAAATCCTGTTCACTCTAAATGCTCAGTCTTGGCTCTTCGAGCTTACTATTAAATCAAAAAATGCTTATTTTCATAATAATAATAATACAGTCTTCTGTTTTAGATTAACTGAGACAAATCTACTAAGGACATCAGTAAGACAGACTCTACCATCACTAAACTTACATGGATGTATTTCCTTTCTCTGTATCTTTCTGACTTGTGCAAATGTGTATCAGTTTCATCACAGACAGGTTTCTTACTCAGATATAATAAACTGCGTTTTAGAACAACCCTGAATGTCAGCCCGTCCACTGCCTTCAAAAAATTAAAGTGAGCTGACACATCTAAAACTTTCCCATTCTCAGAAAGATTGACTTCTGTTTCCTGGAGAAATGTAATGACTTCAAGGAAACAAAAGGTTGAAAGAGATGTCTTGCTACCACAATGAATGCCAGAGAACACTTCATCTACTTGTATGGAAATTCCTGGTTTAACACAGTGCTTCTGTCCCCAGGTGAAAACGTAAAACTGGACTGTTTCATACTAAATTATGGCTGAGAATGTTCAGAAACTCACTCTTTTTTTGGCACAGTTAGGAAGACAGATCTTACAGAAGGACGCCCATCACGTATTTCAGACCATGGTCCAATTCTCAGAATCAGATGAGCCTTCACGGGACTTCCTGCTGTAGTGAGCAGCCAATCAAAATCCATGTTTGTGCTTACTCCCTCTCTAAACACAGGACACTTCTCTGAGAAATGCAAAAAAGCAGTGCTGGTCAATTCTTTGCTATCTTAGAAACTCCAAAGCACATGAGAGCATTTCATGGCTCAGTCTCGTAGCTTCATGATTTCTTCTGTTAACCTTATGTTTTAGATGGGAAAATTGATAAGTGACTACAGCATCCCATGCATAACAGCAAACCTTTCAGTAAAGCCTCAACCTGTTTTCTGCTCTGTTTTCTTGACAAAGCATGGCCTAAAACTGAAGGGGGAAAAAAAAAAAAGTTCATAGACAACCCACATGAACCCTTCCAGGTGATTAATATTAAATAAAGGGCTACGACAGCAAGTCTATCAAATATGCATCCTTATTACATATACATCCAAATCTGTCATGGTCTTGTCTGGCTGGAGATCTTCCTACTTCCCATCAGGAGTCAATGTACTGACAGCCTACCATTTTCATGTTAATTCTTAAAACTGCTGCCTCTCAAGGGCTGTTTATCCATGCGCTCTCCTCACCATAACCACAGATTTCTATGCAGGTAATAGGCAAAGATGGTAGCAACCAGACACAAGGCACTGAAGGCAAGTCAGTATTAGTGGGTTTCATTTTCTTTTTTTTAACCAGTTTCATGTTGAAATCACTTTTTAATTCAACACTGAGAGCAGCCGGTTCAGCCTTGGTTCGTGATCTACAGTTTTGTTCAGTCTTCCTAAAAACTTACGTATGTGAAGCCTGGCCAGTTATTCGGTGAGTTACACTATGTAGGCTGCTACATCTTGACCTGACTGAAGCAGAGATGAAAGCAGAGTAAGCAAGGGAGTGTAAACACCAGGACAGGGTAGCACTGGAGACACAGACTTCTCCTCTGGCACTGGTTACAGCAAGAGATGCTGCTCCCACACTGGGAGCTTTGATTCCTGGGAGCTTCTGCATCGAGCTGTTTTTCTGTTTGTCAGAGAAAAATAAAACTCTCCTAGACTGAGGCTACTTCACCTTAGTTTAAGATTTTGTATTTGATGGGTCTAAGTGTCTTGGTTTCTTTCAGACGCTCCTGGGGGCTTCTTTTCCCCTGCCTTTATCTGAGCAGCAAGAACTCTAATGGAGGCTTGTTTGCGTCTGCATGGAGCAGCAACAGCTCGAGAGGCTGAAAGCCGCCAGCTTCATCTGCGCTGGAGCTCTCACCAAAGCATCCGCCAAGCTGAACTACGACCAGCGGAACCGCACTCACGGAGAAAGTCAAGTGGTTGACGCAGGCAGCGGTGCCTCGGGAGCGATGCTCCCAACAGTGGCGCCAGCAGGCTGCTGCTGCCTCTCGCTGCGCTTACCGCGAGGCCCTGACACGCGTAAGGCAGGCGAGGCGCGCAAATCCTGTTACTGACCTTGCAGCTCTATTTCCCTTGTTACTTCTTACCACGGCATTCCCGTACACAGCACCGCGACGTCCCCACAGCGCCCGCTCTGGTCTGGGTTGGGTTGGGTTAGGTTAGGTTTGGTTTGTCTCTAAGGAAAACCACCTGTGTACCAACCCTGCGCGCACCGGGCAGCGGCACCCGCCGTTCCCGCCCCAGCCCTGCCGCGCGGGGGCAACTTGAAAGCAGCCCTGCCTGCACCGGCACAGACCCCCGCACTAGCAGAACCCCCACGGGAACAGGTATTCCTGCCTGGCGCGGGCAGGACGCGCAGGGCCGTGCCGGGGCGATGCGGGTGACGGCAGCCCGCACTCACCCAGCAGCAGCAGCTTCAGCTCCCGGCGGACGTTCCGCTTGCCTGGGCGCAGCTGCCGCTCGGTTTCAGCGCTGATGCTCTGCGACTCCTTCTCCTCTTCAGAGAAGAAACAGCCGGCCATTGTCCCCCGACTCCGCCACCGCAGGGGAGCGGCGGAAAGCCAAGCCGCGCCGCGCCGCCCCACCGCGGAGAGGGGCCCCGGGTCGCGACGGGCACGTGGTTAATGTTTGCGGGCGCGGCCGGGCCCCTGCTCTGGCTGGGCGGGACCGATCCTCCCGCCGCGCAGGGAGCTGGGGTTGGAGAGACGCCTGGCAGGCGGGCCCCGGGCAGGGGGAGAGGGACACCCGGCGGGCGGCGGCGCGTCGGGGCTAACGGGAGCCGGCTGCGTAAAAACAGAACAGAAAACCCTCATAGACACTGAAAAGCCCCCAGAATAAAACCATCACCCGCAACCCCGCACACACCCGTTGGAGGAAGTCAGGAGGCGAGAGGGGCTACCTGAGAGGTTAAGTATCGTAAAACGCTGCATCTGGGGCTTGCTTTGTCTTTCCCCACCCGACATCCCAACAAGGATGGAAGCATGAAAAGGATGGGACATGCCTGCGGATGGCATTAGCTGGTTTTCATTTTAGAGGGCTTTTTGGAATTAGCTGTATTTCACTCATTGCTTGCATGGTTGAATCTAGCATTTAACTGCTTTGTGTTTTGTAAGGAACACAGTCATGGAAAGTCGCATTACGTCATGCCTGCAGTAGGAAAACTAGGGTCCTTCGGAGAAGCTACAAAGTAAGGCTGCTTCAGGTGCCCTGTGGAACTAGAAGAACTTTAAGGTCACTTCCCACCCAATGGTTTCCAATGTCCTGGAAGCCTGCCATATCTCATGGTTAAGCCAATGGCTGCTTTGCAGCTGTTGCCTGCTGCAAGTATTTCAAGGTCTCTGGTAATACAGGTATATAGAAATTAAGTGTTGTTATTATAAAAAGGCATGTTTGCTATTCATTGATATTAAAAGCACTGACGTATTACAGAACAACTATTACCATCCTCTGAGGACACAACTGAAAGCAAGGTGCTTGACTCAGTAGCGCTGAAGAGCTACATGGGCACTTGTACTAAAATTCCAAATTAGCTCCAGGGTGGATGAGGTAGGAACTCCTTTCAGGACAGAGATCCTACAGCTGGAAAAAAAAAAAAAAAGGTGTGGGTTTGTTTTTTTTTTCAGTTCCGCCCCTTCTTTTCTCTGTGCAGAATCATCTTCACAGCTGTTTCAGGAGGCATCTGCTAATGTAACCCTACATCGTACTCCATGTCCCAGAGTTTGAGACTCATTACAAATTTTCAAACTTACAAGTTTTCAAAATGGTATTTATGACTTTCTAACTCTACTGAAATTCTGCAAAATCAGCACATGGTTTTGAAATCTCTTTTTGAGCTCATTTCAGTTGTAGAAAACCTTTTTATTGGTGGAATGGTTCTTTTTGGGGGGTTGTTTTTTTGGGGGGGAGGTTTGTGGTTGATTTGTGGTTTGGTTATTTTTCAGGGGAGGACAAAGGAACACTTACTGTGCAGGAGCTAGATCATCAGGTTTATAATGACACTGTGTATGCATTAAGAATCAAACTATTAAAGTTTTTCTTGTCTCAGCCTTCCTTTCTCTGTGCCTGTGTTCAAAGTTTCCTTGGAGTTCACTCTGTCATCCCGATATAATTTTTTTCTAAAGAAAACAAACCATGGAATGATACTTGAACTTCTGAACTTGCAGAGTTTCAAATGCATTTAATACCAAGCAACCTTTTGACTCAAAGTTTATGCTACAGTGATAGGTGAAACCATAAGACAATAGCAAGATAAGCAAATGTTTATTTAAAAACCATAAGTGGTTGTTTTGTTGATTTCTTCCCCATAGGCAGATGCATGTGAATTTTCTAAAATCAGAGCTTAGTATTTCCAGTCCATGGAAAACAGTTGTCTCCACCTTTACCAATTAAATCTCAAGAGCAATTATAAAGGAGTTGCTTCATAATTTGAAAGCTAAATATTTTTGTACTTTTTAGTGATAATAACTTTTTAGAATACCTTACTGACATAAGAAAGTATGCAGGCAGGTTTCAAAGGAGTCAGGATCGTCTGAGTTTGCTGATCCTGCAGTTTCATACAAATGTGGCTGTTCTGTGAATAGTTTTATTAACTGCTAATGCAAGTAAATATTTGCCTTGTCTAATAGTATTTGATTTCCAGTACATACAGTTTGAGATAAGTATCAGAATCGTTTTGTTGGTTTTTTTTTGTGAACGACAGAAAGGTGTACACAGCAGTACAATTCCCACTACCCTAACAACTTTGAAAATTCACATCATATCTGTTCATACATTAGGGTTGGCTCTCCAAGGGAAAAAAATCAAAAGTCCAAATTTATTCTTACTGTATATCTCTAATCTTTATTAGCATTATTCAAAAGCAGAAAAAAGCACCAACAGATGCTTATTTTTCCTCCATGGTTCTGCAGGAGTACATCAGCTCACTTAAGAAGGATCAATAAAAAGTGCTTTTTCAATGGAGGAGAGCCCCAATTCCCTCCTCAGTGATTCTGTAACCACAACAACAACAACAAAACATCATAATGCAGCAGCCAAAGGAAGGGAGAGGAAAAGGGAAGCTACACAGATTCCCATCTCTTATGAGTAGCAGGGTTAGGCTTCTAGATGAGGGTTTTGTGTGCATCACACAGTCGCATTCTAAACAATTTCTCAGTGACTGTGGAGTTCCGTACCTGTACAATTTTTTAACAGGCTGAAGAACTCTTCCCAACATATTACACTGAATTTCATCTATTTCTTCATCTGAGAACAAGTCAATATAATGTAGGCAATCGTTTGGGCAATTTATTCCTGGAACTAACTTTTATGTGGTATGCATAAGCTTTCTTCCAATCACCAATACTATTTCTTCTAGCTTACTTTTTGCTTTCTTGAATAAACCTGCACTGCTTATGGTTTGATTATCCAGCAGCTGAGTAATAGAATTGTGCAGATTATAAGGCTTTCAGTATTTTTTGCTAAGGGCTCCTGAGGGCTTTGTTTATCAAAAATGCTGCTACATCTCTCTTAGTGCAGCTGAAAAGACATAAAACTACTCAAAATACCTTGAAACCACTTTTGTCTGTAGCAGCCTCTAGGCTTTATGAAAAGCTACACTCTAAGGCTGTGCAGAGCATTAAGACCTAATGGTATTTAATTATTAGCTCCCAGCACATTTCCCTTTAACTCTACTGCCTGATTGACATTAACCAGATATGCCCACTTCTGCAGATGCAGGCATATGAGCTCCTAGCGATCTTGAGGAGGCTGCCAAAACCAAAGCAGCTTGTAAAAGGGTGGTGTCTGTATGGTTTTTCTTGAGAGCTGGTTACAATATAAATAACTGTCAGTGGTGAAAATTCTGCCCTCAGCTAAAAAGGTGTATGGTTTCCTAAGAGTAAGTTCGAGATTTTAAAAAATTTGGAGAGATATAAAAATGCCTAGAACTCAAAACATCTGATAGTCTGACATGTCCATATTGCTGAAAAGCAGCTGAAAAGGTTGTGCTTGCATGCAATTGGGAAAAGTTCTAAATCACTCCTTTTTGTTAATTGGGGTAGTTATATTTGACCTCATGGAGGATACTCAGAAGTAATTTTCAGTGACTGTCTTGTAACATCATAAATCAGGTACAGGTACTTCCCTCTTTCTTCTGCTTGTGTGAGAGACACACAAAATCATACACTGCTTTCTTTTCCTTATCACATTTTCATTGTTGTTATGCTTCCTTACAAGTGAACGTCATCTTCAAATCAGGAGGGTACCAACTGAAAAAAAAACAAGAAACAGTGCTCTGTAACAACCAGGAAGAGAGTGGATATTGTGGTTTTAGGCAGGGGTAGGAATCTGGAAAGCACCTGCAGCAGGAGAAACTTTTAGATATTTTGTAATGATATATTTTATTATGTGCTTTACATGGAAGTAGTAGCTTGAATCAAAATGGCAGTAAGTGTAATAAGTTATACAGAAGCAGGGCAGATTATGGTTTAGGAAGAACATGACCAAAACTGTATCAATGTAGGTTCAATGAGGGAAGTAACTTATGTTTTTCTGTTGTTAAAAGTAGTTGTATTTCAATGGTTTACAGTGGCTTTTGGGGTATTGCTGATATGGAGAGAGAACTTCAAGGCAGAAGACTTCATATTTCAGTTTTACTCCTAAACTACATATATGCTTTTCCTTAACTCTTTCTAGCTAAGAATATGTTCTTACCTACTACAGAGCAACAGCAGTGGTAGAAAAGCATTGGAACTTCTGTCATTCACTCAAAAACTATGTAAAAATGAGAAATTGGTGCTTTTTCTGAGCCTTCATAGAGCATGGTTGTTTTAATCTGTGAAAAATGGAAACGGATTTTTATTTGGTAGTGGTTTATATTTGCTTTTCTTAGGATTAAACAACTATGTAGGATACGGAGATTCAAAGAGAAACAGACCCCAAATGTTACGCATATTTCAAAATTGGGAGATTAAAATAAACTCAGTTTTGCACTAACAGTCATGTGTGGCTTTCTCTTTAGGGTGGGTGGTTGAGTTCCTGTTTGTTTTGTTATTTTACACAGTGATAAAGTTTCCAGCTAACTTGTTTATTTTCTTTGCCAAGCTGTGTACTTTGTGCATGTCATTGCTCAGTAACTCACAGTAGCTGCACTCCTTAAAAGGAATAGATCCAGAGAAACTTTCTTACTGGCCCAAACAAGTTTGATAGGTTCAATGACCGCAAATACTGGTGCAGTGAAAAATATCCCAGAGTCAACCACCTTCCAAGTACACATTATTTAATATACTCTTACCCTTCAACGGAAAAGTCTGGACTAAAGGATGCTAATATAAGTGGCAGCTAGAAAGTGAACAAGCTATTGGATAAAAATCACAAACTAGTCTAATTCTCAAAAGACAAAACTGATCCTTGCAGTAGGAATACTTTGAGAACAACCAGTAGCAGGGGTAGCTCAGGTTTCTTTCTAACAGGCGTCTGAGACTTATCATAGCCAAGTTTTGCTAGTTTAATTGCGTGGTAGGCTAATCTCAGTCTTTTCAGTGTG